ACTGGTTGATGACGCAGAGCCCATACCACGAGTTGACGCAGTATTTGCGAAGGTCGCGGGAAGAAAGTATTTTTCAAAACTGGATCTAACTAAAGGGTACTGGCAGATAACCTTGGATGAAGCATCAAAGGCGAAAACGGCCTTCTCATGTGCACGAGGGTTATTTCAATTCTGATTCATGCCCTTTGGACTGAAAACTGCGGCGCAGACTTTCACTAAACTCATGCAAATAGTGCTGCATGGACTCCAAAACGTGGAGCATAATATCGACGATATCATAGTGGCGACAAATTCTTGGCCGGAACATGTGAAGACATTACAGGAAGTGTTCCGCAGGCTCCAAGTGGCGGCGATCACAGTGAAACCGACAAAATGCCAAATTGGGTTTCAAGCAATTACCTTCCTTGGACACACCCTGGGAATGGGACACATCGCAGCTCATCCTGACACAATTGAGAAGATACAGTCGGCGCCGAGGCCATTGAACAAGAAGCAGTTGAGATCCTTCTTGGGCCTTACAGGCTACTATAGGGAATTTATCCCTCATTACGCGGATATAGTCAGTCCCCTTTCCGATCTCACTAAAAAGAACGCGCCTAACAGATTGCCTTGGTCGGAATGTCATGAGCAGGCATTTGAGCAACTCAAGAGGTGTATGGCTGAACCACCGGTCCTTATGGCACCAGATCTCACTAGGACGTTTGTTATGCGAGCGGATGCATCAGAAAGGGGTGTAGGAGCGGTACTGTTGCAGGAATCTGATGGGATCTTGCATCCAGTCTTGTACGCAAGTCGGAAGCTGAATGACCGCGAAAGAAACTACGCTACGGTGGAGAAGGAATGTTATGCTTTAATATGGGCAGTTAAACGATTTCACATTTATTTGTATGGAACCCAGTTTGTGGTGCAAACGGATCACCAGCCACTAGAGTACCTCAACCGGGTGAAGCATAATAACGCCAAAGTCATGCGGTGCAGCCTTATCTTTCAGGAGTACAGTTTCTCGGTCCAGTACATAAAAGGGAGAGACAATGTTGGCGCAGATTTTATGAGTAGAATGATGAAGTAGGAAACTCTGTGCGGACACATACCTAGTATTATTGTTTCATGGATGATGTGGGATGACAGTGAAGTGTGACTGTGACTCACGAAGATGGATCTGCGTGTTAGTGTAGGCAAGTCTAGTAGTGCCACTGTGGATTTAAATATGCCGTGCAGTGACGTGGTGTGCCGTGAAGTGAAGTGTTGTGCGGTGAAGGGAAGTGCCAAGATGTGCAGTGAAGTGCTGTGTCGTGCAGGGAAGTGTTGTGTTGTACAGTGAAGTGTATGGTGCTAGTGGGGACGACAGTTTTCGTGGAGCCAAAACTCAAAAAATTGGGGGCCATTGTCAAGAATGACAAGATGAAGAAAAAAGGAAGAGAAATAAGTTGTCTTAAATAGGTAATTTAACATGCTTGATTGAGGGGGAAGAGGTGGAAAAAGAAGAGGGCGCGAGGCGAGCGAGGAACGTGAGAGCCGGGACGTGGCGTTCGAGGGGACAAGGGCTGCGGAAGTTCGGACTGGGTCTCGTTCCAGGCTCCCACCCGAGCACCTGACTCGGCGAGCAGCGCAAGGAAATACCGCTGCCCCTGGATGGCAATGGTTCTCGCCCGAGCACCTGACTCGGCGAGCAGCTCACGGAGTAACCGCTGATCCTGGACGGCAGTTTCCCGCCCGAGCACCTGACTCAGCAAGCAGCCCACAGAGCAACTGCGGATCCTGGGCTGCAGTTTCCCGCCCAAGCACCGACCTCGGCGAGCAGCCCCGGAACCACCGCCGACCCTGGTCTGCAGTGTATCCCGCCCGAGCACCTGTGTCGGCGAGAAACCACTAGAGCTACCGCTGTAGTGGGTCTTCGACATCGTCGCCACCGTGGAGCATCGATATAGCGTGTCATCACGCCTGAGAGGGACTCCCAGCGGACCAGAGGCCATGCCACAACTGTAAGCGCGAGACTTGGAGAACGCCAACGGAATCGGACGTTGAAACACGCGTCATTAAGACAGCTCCTTTTCTGTGTTTTTCAACGTGTGCGTATTTGTGTTGTTGTTTCGTTTTTGTGATTGTCATGGTAATGAAGTGATAGTTTTCGTTTCATACCATCAGCCTCCATGGTTCATTTCGCAACACCCGACGAGCGAACCAGGCCTCAGCATATACGCGTGACAGATAGATGGATAGATAGATAGATAGATAGATAGATAGATAGATAGATAGATAGATAGATAGATAGATAGATAGATAGATAGATAGATGGATGGATAGATAGATAGATAGATAGATAGATAGATAGATAGATAGATAGATAGATAGATAGATAGATAGATAGATAGATAGATAGATAGATAGATAGATAGATAGATAGATAGATAGATAGATAGATAGATAGATAGATAGATAGATAGATAGATAGATAGATAGATAGATAGATAGATAGATAGATAGATAGATAGATAGATAGATAGATAGATAGATAGATAGATAAGCTCGATTTCGCTGAAGTTCGCTGAGCAATGCTTTGCATTTAAAATAGAAGAATAGTATAAAAATATAATATACATGAAAAAATTAACACTAGAATATGGAGGAAAAAGTTTGGAAAAGTAGATTCCATAACCTAAACCTTTTTTAACTTTTAACGAATTCCTGTTATGCATCAGCAATCTTCCCGTCACTTAAACAAGAGGCGAAACCTCGAAAGACAGTACATTTTGTGCCTTCAGGCCTAATCTAAGGAGACAGAAAACGGACCTAGAGCAATTTGGCGCGACTTAGAGCACTCTTACAGAAAATTCGAGATGATAGTGATCAGTGATCATCTATTAAGGGTGATCGACCAAGACTCGGGTGGATCATGTAGTCTGAAATTTTCGAAGTGCTACTAGAAATTACACTGTTATGAGAATGAGTGGTTATTTTCAATCAATCCCAGTATCAGCTTAAAATATGTTGCATAAGCTATCAAAGGACCAACGGAATCGTAATGTCTAGAGGACATATCGTAGATTATAAGCGGTTTATGTGTCAAATAATTCATTTTGATTCGCATATATATATTGCTCTACAGTATTGCAAACTTTCCCGTCCGGGTGCCTCAGCACAGACGCCCCAAATAGAGTAACTGGCAGACCAAGTTGCTACCTTATAATGTCAAAAGTTTTCGCCTTGTTTTTATTGCCCCATTGTATCTTCGATGACGGTGATGATGTGTATTCGTGATAGTGAGATTATCTTACATCATGATTGTTAATGTGATGAGTTTACTAAACTCACAGCGAGCCAGGACCATCGCTGAGGGTCTCACACGATGGCCCGGTGGCCTGTAGTTCGGTCCAGTAATTTCTCGCGGGAACCACAACGAGCTTCAATACTTTAACACATGCTTACCTTGTTCCCGGAGTAGTTTTCTACCACACTCTAGGTAACCGCGAGAACAATCAAACAAACGTTGCTAACTGCATAAGTGTAGATGTCTCGAACACACGTTGGAGTACAAAAGTCGAAAAAGACAAACACAAACGCAGTGTTGTAAATGGGAAGAACAGCGAGATAGGATACGTAGCACAAACGAACGAACACACAGGACGGCTGCAGGAATAATTCTATATGGCTTTTTTCACGCTGTTTTTTTTTTTCGTTCTACTAACGTTCTACGGCACCTGCAACTATAGAATGCCGCCAACTGACGTAGAGGAGCCTGTCTCCGGGAAGGTTCAAGATGTCGACATCTTGATCAAGATACCACAAGACTCTCACAGATGGCCGGTCGCCAGTGGTATAGTCCTAGCAAAAACATTCCGTGAATCACACTAATTTATCTGTGCCACAGAAGAGTAACGAACCTTTGATCGCTCTGCTATGTTCATATATGTAAAAAAAAAACGCCATGCCTGCACGGAAGGCGCAGCACAGTCACAGCGAGTGCTAGAAGAGTGGCCCTTCAGAGCCTTTTCAAAACACTCATTGGGTAACTACTGCAAGCACACTTGCTTGATACCCACTAGGGCATTAATAATAAACTTTTGGGTATACTCTACCGGCATTCACTGCGCTATTTTTTGCCATTCTTCTGAGAAGCGTGGTATCCTCTAAACACTTGCAAGGAATCGTGCAAATTGTTCGTGCAGTGACTGACGATGATCAGGAATTATGGCTGAAATGGGCATGCGCCGCAATTAATAGGTGATCAAGAACAAGATTTTGTAATGGGTTCGAACATTGCACGACCCACTCGTTACGCTATTCACATTGTGTGACGCCTGGTTGTTCCTTTGCTGTTCTAAAGTGCTTTATAGCTGATAATAACGCGATTCCTTCCCCGACATCAAGCCTGCCTAAGGCAAGCAAGTTTGCGAACACGTTCCAAGCAGCGGAGTGGCGCAGTGGTAGAATACTTTGCTGGTACTAAGTGGACCCGGATTCGGGCCCCACTGTGTCCCGAGTTCTTATTTCGTGTGATAGTGGTTGCGAACACCGGCGGCGGTGGCGCTGACGGGCTACTACGGCGCCGCGCGTGAGCCGTGTTGGGTCTCATAACAGCTCTCGCTGTAAAATGGGAAATGGCTAGAACAACGCCTAAAGTGAACGAGAGATACTAACTAAATATATAAAAAAACAGCTTGCGAATTGTAATGAGAGAGGCGAATGTCTTTCTCGTACGAGAGTGGCAGATTGAAGTATATACAAAAAGAACAAAATTATGACTTCCCATCGATAGCAGAATGGTGATGGGGTAACGGGCTGGGAAGCAGGGCTTCCTTCAAACAAATGTATACAAGAAAGTCTCCGTGCTTATAGGTGTCTTCACTTAACATACTTGTGGAGCCTAGTGCGGAAGGTATGCGAAAGTCAAAGTACAACCCATATCAATGCGCTTTGATACCTCAATAGTGACATTCCAGCACTCAATTCATGCGCGTGTGGTATCTTTCACCATGGAAGAACAAGGAGGAAACAAATCATTCGTTATTTGTGTTTTACGCAACTTTTCTTTTATTTACATAACGTTACATAGTTGCACGAGGTGAACTCTTATCGAGATGCTCCGGAGGTGAGTTTCATTTCATTTCCTATCTTTGCCGTGAAAAAGACGAGTAAAGAACTTTGAAACGCTAATATTTGTTTCAACTCAGCCATCACGCAGCTTTGCGATGTGGTCCTTCTGGAAGATCGAAGGCACGACATACCTGCGAGAAGGAAAAAAGAGGGAATATAAATGTTAATTTCGTGACGGTGCATCATCTAAACACACTTGGTCACAGTGGAATACTTTCCACACTGAGGCTATTCAAAGATTAGTGCACAAAAATCTGCAGAACATGGCCATTAATGTAAGGTCTCTGCATGTGAGAAGAGCTTTCCTGTTACACTGTGACGGCCACACGTGCAGGCCACCCAAAAAGTGATATCTTTCGTGGTAAAGTTCCTTACACATGTTCCGGCAAGCCTGAACTTCCTCCTTCTATATTACGCTGTGATAAGTAGTGCGAAAAATGGGCAGAAGATATCAAAGAACGTGTGGTCTGTTTCTAGAACTGGAGCAAGTTGAGTGCTTGACGTCCCTATTTGCTCCAATGAATACCCTGCCCAACTATACACACCGGCTTCGGTGTTGTAACAGTTTAGCTCAAAGCAAGAACACCAGAGTTTCAGGACAACCGGTTGGCATTGCACTTTTTCAAGGCTTCATCTTCCCAAGCACTGAATTAGCTTCTATTTTATAGTATGCAAAATTTCACAAGCAAGTTTTCTTTTCACATTCTAACTTGCCCTGACCTAAATTGCTGCATCACTGTTAGTAGCTCTGCCACTAAGGTAACGCATGTTTATTGCACGTCAAGTCTTGGTCATCAAACAGGCATCTTACCCACTTAACTTCTTTTTCATTTGTTTTACCCTTCTCTCTTTCCTTTCATGTAACCTACATTCTACGCTAAGGCAACGCAAGGTAGCAGACACGATGTAGGAAGTCTACATGATGCCCCGCAATTGCCATGTCTGTTTGAGGACTACCTTCTTAATAAGGTTAGATGAACTGAAAAGTGGGTACAAACTTGCCTTTAAATATCAGCTTCGAGTATGTCATGACAATAACCTTAATAAATGAAGTAAAAAAACACAGGTGGGGAGCGAATTTTCCAACTTTACTCAAGTAAACATACCTCCTGAAGATCGTGGGGAAGTACTGGGCCAGGTAGGCGTACACGACAAACGGCGGTGGACCGAACCATATCTCCTCGAGCTTGTTGGCCACCGCGAGCACGATGAGCTGCGCGGCGCGGGTGGGCGCCATTTTGTTGCTCTTGCCCGGCGGCGCTGGCTTGAAGCTCTCGGTCTTACCCAGGACGTCGCTGAAGCACTTCTGGCGAATCGGTGTGGCCACGGGTCCCGGGCAGACCAGGGTGACGTTTATGCCCTTGTCGAACACCTCGGACCAGAGCCCTTCAAAGTAGCCCTGCGCGAACCCGGTGAAGCAAGAGAACGAGTTATGGTCGAGAATAAATCAACGCCAGTTCAACTCCGAGTGCTGTAAAAACTTCAGGGCAGTTATAGTGCCTAGAAGATATTCTAGGCCCTATAGAACAATGATTAACTAGTGCTTACATTTTGTTTATCCGCTCCTCTAGTGAACACATTTTAAACGCCTCTTCTTGCGGTGAGTCGCCGTTGGGGTTGTCGGCGTAAGGAAGCAAAATAAGTATGAAAAATTGAAAGAACAGAAATGACAGAATGGAGAGACGATTATTGTGTCCAAAACCACGTCCCTATTGACTCTGGGGCCAAAAAAAATCTCATTATAGCCCCGTTTAATGTCTTTATGGGAAAATACGTTCCCATGGTAACCGAGAAAATAATCAGCAATTCAAAGCTGTGGCTTGTAGTTCCTACTTGCGAAAAAGATAGGCTATTTACATAGGTGTCTTTACACGTTTACCAGCATGTCTCATGCACATTACTAAACTTATATTATTAAGATGCCTGGACCTTGGGCATGGGAGGGACATTGGGTCACGACATACCATTCAGTGCGAATTTTCTCTAGCCATCGCTTACGATCCTCAGTATCTGATGCACTGTATAAGCGATTCTGTATATCGCCAGAATATTTTTCCCTCGAAAGCTGTAAGTTCAAACCTAAATGCAAAATTACGATGAATAGATTCGAAGGCGCAAGGAGCCACACGCCGTTTCACAAAGTGTCGTGGCTAACCGTGCTTCATTTAGCAGGCGTCCACAGACTGTTTCTCGCTTTGGTTGTTTTCAACCCGGTCTTAAAATCGCTGGGTTTTCTTATATATTTTATTAATATTTCTGAAGAGCGAAATGGGTTTTTATTTTAACCTAAAAGAATTTTTAAAGACGATAGAAGTCTTTCTTGGAAACCCTCGACGCAAAAATTTTGGTCTGTCTGTTCATTTGTCTGTTTGTTCACCCTTAACGGTACCGGGCACTTAAAATGGCATCAGCGGATACCCCAAACGGCCGACCCCATCTGCAGCGCCCACCAATGTTTCTCAAGGTTTAGCACTCATACTTGTGCAATTGTCAATTAAAAAGCAATTAACGCGTATATGTGCGCCACTATAACAACACGTATATATTCTGTATGTACGTTACTAGAAAAGGCATACATAAGTAATTCTAAGGACTGTAGTGTTTATCACGCGGCGCTGACATAGCAACGCTTGCACAAAAAGGAAAGTGTTTCCAACGCTTTGGTAAGATGACACAGTAGTGGCACCTACCTATCATCTTGTGTTCTACCCCTTATCACCTCTGAGACGGACGCGCACGCCCGTCTCAGAGTCGTGCGTTTTGTTTGCTTAGATGACTGCCGTATAGCGCTCATGTTTCACGTGTGACGTGACTAGGTGCGAACGTTCGCCTCCGCTGCACGCTCGAGGCACTCTAACGTAGTGCCTCCAAAATACCATTCAACGATTTTCTTGCGCAGAACATCAAATAAACGTTGTTTTTTTTTTCACTCCAGACGCATGACCATCGTCTTTCGACGACATTCGCAGATTAACATACAGATACGAGGCCAATTTTTTTTTTTCACGGCTTCACAATTTGTGTGAATGCGTTCAGTGGGTGTTCTCAAAAATGAAATAAAAAATAAGGCGAAGCATTTTCACAGTACTTTGCGAGTTTCTGACGCACTACGTCATAATAGAAAGGGGGACTCACGTGCAAAGCAGCTTTCGTTCCGTTGTATGTGGCCGAGTCAGGCAGGGCTGAGGAGAAATCAGTGAACGAGAGCATCAGTGACTAATCAAAAGACATGATGACCAACTACAGCACTAAAGCAATGAATAATTACCATCACCATAATAACAATGTCAGGGGTTCAACGTTCCAAAACCACGATATGATTACGAAAGACGCCTTAGTGCTGGGCACCGTAGGTTTTGACCATCTGGGGTTCTTTAACGTGTCCTGACATCACAGTACACAGGCCTGCAACGTTTCGCTTCCATCAAAATGTGACCGCCGCGGCAGGGATCGATCTCGCGACCTTCGGGTCAGTAGCCGAGCACCGGTCCCATCCACTGATCTGCCGAGGTGGGCATCACCACCACCCTACTTTATGTTCAGTACAGGACTAAGTGCCCTTCTCATTACGTGTAATTGGCAGTACTGTGACAGCTCACCCCACATCGCCATGCACTTTTATCTACCGATTAAGACGTGATTGTGTTTCACCCCCAAAAACCGCCCCCCCCCCCCGCCCCGGTGCAGACTACGCGGCAATTTTTAGGAAGTTTCGCGATTGCTCAAGATTATGCGTTAAGATTATGCACAGGACGCAGCTTGTCAAGATTACTCCAGAGCTTACGCGAGCACCAAATGTTATAACGGTGGAAGGTTCTGCAACTGATGCAAAGAAGACGACGTGCTGCGAAATACCACAGCCCCACGACCTTGAAAGCAGCCATCAGTGTCGTATTGCTCGTACTTCAACTTGAATTTCTGGGCACAAGCTCGTCCAATGAAAAGTTTGGTCTTCAAGACTGCCATTTTCTTCACTGCCACTGACCATGTAACAATAATATGCCGGTCCATAACTAATGCTGAATTCCGGTTTACTTTACAATCAGATGGTATTCATTGCTGTCCACTGATTATGCATCCTGTGCAGTGCCATAGCCAGACGGTGGCAAAGTATGCTCGTGCCCCATTCCTTCCGTATATTTTTTTTTGCCATAGCATACAGAACATAAAATGACCATTTCGCAGAGATGCGTCCCCCCTGCCTCCCGAAAAACAAATTCTGCGTATATACCGCTGGTCCTGTCCATCACATGGCCTGCCCCAGACAGACAGACAGATGAACTTTATTTGCGTCCCGGGAAGAAGGTTCCTAAGAACCCACCGAGGGCAGCACCCGTGACGGGGTCGGGAACCAAAGGTTCCCGATCGCTTCGCAGGCTCCCTGGAACGCCCGGAGTTGTTTCGCAAGTTGTGAACCTGCGATACATTCTAGAAAGTCTGTCTAGTTTACGTGATGCCTCCTTGTTGAAACACGCAAGCGGGGGCACCGCCACATCAAATGAGGGAAAGTGGCGAGCTGATCGCATGCCGAGCAGTTAGGAGAAATGTCCGCATACAGCGCCATAGTGGCTGGTGACACAAAGGAGCTAGTTTGGAGGAGTCGGAAGGCTATCTGCTGTATCCTTGTTAGCTCTCTGTGTGGATCTGGAAAGGATTTCCTACGTAATCGGTGTTGCAAACATAACCCGTGAAAGGTGGTCAACGGGTCCCCATCAGCGCCATCACCACTTCCATCCCCTTCAGTATGAGGGGGGTTCGTTAGCCCGGGGCAGAGGATGAGTCCTCGCGACCGAGCGTGAGCCATTTCGTTGGGGTTGCTGATGACGGAGACGGAGGCGCCCATCTCCCAAGTCCGTTTCTATTCTCTCAATGTCAACTAGAAAAGCGGCGACCCAATCTTGTACTATGAATCTCTCTGCATACCACAATGCATTACGACACACAAAAAATAATAAATTTATACGACCTAAATATGCAAATATTATGCCCACAAAAGTCACAAGCAAACTTATGAAATATTTACTCAGCACTCAAGAAAAGCGAGTATCCTGTCAGCTCCGCTGTATCCCTATCGTGTAATGTTACACCTCATGTGTGTTTACTTTGCATTTTTCAAAAAACACCCTGCTGCACCTCTTTGCTGGGGCAGTTTTCAAACGCAGTACACGCACGCAGTGGTACCACTCACCGATCTTGAAGGCAACGCTGCTGATCACGACCACGTGACCACTCCTCCGCTCCAGCCAGTGCGGGACCACAGTCTGAGTCAGGTGCACGTGGCTGAACACGTTCAGGTCAAACATAGCCTTGTGGACCTGCCAGAAATTGAATAGCAGCGCAGATGACGTTAGATGGATCAGCAACATAGCAAGGACAGCAAGTTGCGTTTCGGGGGCCAAACACCTTATAAAGGACGAGGCTTGTCCGTTGTCCATTGTCAACGAATGGAGCAACGCCCGGGCGCTCGTGTAATGTACGATAGTGTAGAAACATACGTGAGACACACAAAAAAATTTTTAAGACTATACTAATCAATCATAAATGTGACGGAACAGTACAAAACACTTTAATTTTAACGTAGACACTATGGACCTTAGGACCTGGTCGACTTACACCACTTTAAGTGAGAAAATGTCGCTCAGTTTACATTATGTGAAGCGACGCTCGACTAATATGGATCATACCTGTGACGCCACAATATCATAAACATCTACAAGCATAAAACCTTCATACTGTTTGGTGACTTCAACGTAGACATGAAGCTTATAGACCCTTTTACTGTTTACTAACACAGGCCCTTGATGACATCCGGTTTCTTCCACCGATGTGGCCTAATAGTATCAGTGAGCAAGAAAAGCTTTAGAAAATAGCCCACTTATTTTCTACCCTTTCTTTCTCTTATTTGCAAAATATATTCAAATGAAGGTTCTTTTGAGCTTCATAAAAACTATATCAGATTCCTTTGCACTTAGCGCACGCTACTTCTATCTGAGAAGCAAAAGAGAGACTTTTCTTGTCCTAAAAATTTTTTTTGAAAACGTGCTTTAAGTTTTGACATTATGAGCTGGTAAATGAGCTGACCGGACGCTTTTTCGGGTACAACGCTTGCAATCTTGAAACCGTCTATAAGACCTATAGCTTCACCCACTCGTCATGATTCCCTTCGTGAAGATGCGTGGATTTCTTCGCACGACTTGCATGACACTTTTAACGGTGCTGGAGTATCCATTCTCACTTCTATCAAATCACTACGACCAAATGCGTGGGCCACGCAACAACATATTCATTTCCACTGTACGCAATCTATGGAGTCTTCATATTGTACGTCCATTTGAGCCTCTTTTAAAGAATGACCACTAGCCCCGCAATGAAGGTCTTATGTGGTTAATACTGAGTGCTCTCCACGTAATGTTGCGTTTGAATTTCATTTTACCTTGGGTGGCTCTATGGGAGTACTCGCTCTCTCCATCAGCGGTTCTTAGCTGCCTCATCAAGCGTAAGGCCCACGGGATGGCTTTATGCTCTCGCACAGTGCAGTACTGAGTACTCAAAATCGTCAACCTCTTTTAAATGCGAAACATTTCATATCGAACTTCAGCGACTTTGTATCTATTTATCTATCCAGCCACTTAGACTTCTAGTTCTCCTCGCCTTTTCGTTAATGATATAAATACTAAATTTGGTATGGCATAACATGACTATGACGAGCATAATTGATTAGTCATAATATGACTATCATGTCATGTATATCATGAATGTCATGATTTACATTTTATGGTCTTGCTGCTCTAACGGTGGTTTCGTTCACAGGACATGTTGCAAAATTGGCATGGTATGACATGACTGCATAGCTAGAACGGAAGTGACAGACCCTAACATGAAAATCATGACATGCATGTCATCTAAGTCATGAGTGATGACTACACGTCACGCTCATGGAACGCTCGCAGTCATTTCGCTAGGTTTCCATATACCAAAACTGGTGTTACGGGACGTGAATGCATGAAGAAGGTATGTGACTGGTGTAAACATGATAATCGTGTGATCCATGTCATGTCACATGACTACATGCCAGACTCATGATGCGCTCGCAGCTGTTTCGCTACCTTCACATGCACAAAATTTGGTATTACAGGACGTGAACGGATGACGAAAGTATGTGACTGGGGCAAACATGATAATCATGATATGCGTGTCGTGTAACATCACTACATGCTACGTTCATGATGCGCTCGTGGCCGTTTCGCTAGCTTCACATGTATACCACATTCGGTATTACGTCAAACGAACAGATGACATATGTAAATGACACGTCCAAACAAAAAATTGGCAGATCCCATCCACGTACAGTGGGAATCGATGCTATGCGAAGCACAAATGAGAGCAGTTGATATGTCATTTTAAAATCAGCACAACGTTACGAGGTGGAGGGAAGATTTCCGTGTCATGATTATCATGTTTGTATGTGTCGTTTTCCTTCGTCATCTATTCGCGCTACGTGATACCAAATTCAGTATATGTAGAGCTAGCAAAACGACCACGAGCATGCTATGAGCGTGGTATGTTGTCATGTTCTGGCATGACACGCGTGTCAGGATTATCATATTTGCACCAGTCATATACTTTCGTCATTCATTGACGTCACTTAACACAAAATTTGGTATATGTGGAGCTAGCGAAACGGCCGCTAGCGCATCATGAAGGGCCCAATATACTCCGACGTAACGTTGACGCGCGCGCACGCTGTGCACAGCGACGCTACGCTATGTTAGCACAACGCGAGCACGCTATAGTCTGGCGCCAGGCGCGACCAGCGTCCATCCCCGCGGCCCGACGGCAACCGGTCTGAAATGCGATGTGCTACATTTCGCGCCGATGCGTTACTCAGACAACACTGCGTCTCCCTGTTTTCGTGATGGAGGGACGCCAGACGCGCTGAAACGCGCATGCGTCAACGCAACGCGGCACGTGCCTGCAAGTATATGGCAGGGCCGGCGCCTGGCGTAGCAACGTCGGTGTGACGCGACGAAATGAACGCCGGCGTGCACGCGCACCGCGTCACGTCGAAATGCATTGGCACCTTGGCTGTGGCATGTAGTCATGCTCTCACATGACACGCATCTCAGGATTATCACGTTTGCGCCAGTCACCTACCTTCGTCATCCATCGACGTCACGTAATACCATATTTGGCATATGTGAAGCTAGCGAAACGGCCGCGAGCGCATCAGGAGTGAGGCATGTAGTCATGTTGTTACATGACGCGCATGTCGTGATTATCATGTCTGGATGTCTCATTTACCTATGTCGTCTGTTCGCGTAATACTGAGTTCGGTACATGTGAAGGTAGCGAAACGGCCACGAGCGAATCATGAGCATAGAGTGTAGTCATGTTGTTACATGACACGCATATCATGTTTATCATGTTTGCACCAGTCACATACCTTCGTCATCCATTCACGTACCGTAATACCGAATTTCGTATATGTGACGCTAGCGAAACGGCCGCGAGCGCATCATAAACGTGGCATGTAGTCATGTTGTTACATGACACGCATGTCATGATTTTCATGTTAGGGTATGTTGCTTGTGTTTTCCATGCTATCATGTCATACCATGCCAGTTTTGCAACATGCCATGTGATCGTAACCACTGCAAGAGCTGCAGGACCATGAATTGTAAATCATGACAATCATGACATCCATGTCTTGATTTTCATGTTATTACTAGTCAAATATGTTCTTCATACAGTCATGTTATGCCATACCAAGTTTGGTATTGAGACCATTATCGAAACGGCCAGGAGAGTTAAAAGTCGTAGATGGATGGATGGATGGATGGATGGGCGGATGGGCGGATGGATGGATGGATGGATGGGCGGATGGGCGGATGGATAGATAGATAGATAGATAGATAGATAGATAGATAGATAGATAGATAGATAGATAGATAGATAGATAGATAGATAGATAGATAGATAGATAGATAGATAGATAGATAGATAGATAGATAGATAGATAGATAGATAGATAGATAGATAGATAGATAGATAGATAGATAGATAGATAGATACGCGCAAGGTCGCCGAAGTTCACTAAGAAATGCTTCGCATTTAATAATCGTGACATTTGCGTGTCATGTAACATTACTGCATGCTACACTCAAGGCGCCAATATACTTCGACGTGACGCGCACGCGTTAGCGCCAGTGTTCGTTACGTCGAGTCATGCCGGCAATGCCACGCCAGGCGCCTACATGCCTGGCATTTACTCGCAGGAGCGCGCCACGCTGCGTTGCTCTGATGCATGCACGTTTGCGCACACCCGGCGTACCTCCATCACGAAGCTAGGCAGACGAGGTCGGTTCTTTACTCTATGACGCGGTGCTGTCTGGGTAACGTCATCGGCGCGAAATGCACCACGTCACATTTCGTGAAGGTTGTCGCCGGGCTATAATACCTAGAATATGCTTACTATTGTGCCGACCATGGCCTTCGCGGTGCCACGGAGAATGATGCCTTCCACCGTCGGTTACCAGACGGCGACAGCCGTAGGGACCATGTTTTGCCGAGCCAATGGCCGAGCGGCCCGAGCCGGAGTCCGAGCGGAGTGGTGTCGGCGGCGTCTCTGCCACGGCCGCTCCGGCCGTGTCTCTACCAACACTCCGCCCAAAGCGCGCGTGCGACAGGCACCGATGGGCTCTCCCAGCCTACTTAGGACTGTAGAACGCTGGTTGGGAGGCGATGCGTAATCAAAGAAATATTTTTTCGTTGCACTTACAAACGTACGTGGGCCCGGTATCATTAATACGGTACACGATATCGTGTTTGATTAAAAAGTACCAATTAATAAATTATTGATTAGTGGGGTTACACAATAAATCAATGAATATGCGTGGTTTCCGAGGAAAAAGAAAAACTCTAATGGAGTTCAATAAAATTCAACTGTTAAACTCGCGGCATATAGCTGGTTTAATTATGCCACAACACTTATTATAAGCCAATTTCTTTTATTGCTGCAAGGTAGGATGAGTTTTTCGCGTGTGCTTCAATACTCTAATGACGTTTACGCTAGCTGAACTCACTAAACGCAAATAGTTTATTTTCATAACTAAAATGCTCCAAGTGCTACAGCACATATTGAATTTTCTTCATTTTTTTAGGATTTTGCACACATAGATTGAAACACCTGGCACAGATGCGAACAATGTCGGCAGGTGCAAGAAAAAAAAAAGAATACTAACGCAACAGCATTACAGAGCTCATTTCGTAGATATGCCGGTATCCGCGACGTCGTTTTAAACGAGAAATCATCTTG